CACGGACCGCGAGATCGTGACCTGGCTGAAGTCGGACGCTTAACCGACTGCGCCACCCAGGCGCCCCTGCATTTCAAAGAATAGTAGCGCTAAGTGGATTATTTGTTAAAATCAAATTATCAACATTTCTGGTTTTTATCAGGCACTTCTGCTTCTGCCCATCCCTGTAACCCAGGCTGTCACTAACCACAGATTGACCCCTGGGGAACATCTTACTCAGGTCTCCCATCTTCACAGCACTGTATGCATTGGACTTTAACAGATTCTCTCTTCCCATCAAACCACATCTCTCCTGTATCCTGAGCCATCTGAAATACTTCCTGTGAAGTGCTGATAGAATACACCATCCTGTGAGAACATGGTGGTTGCTAATGGTTTCATTTTTTTTTAGCTTCCCAATTAATATAGTTGTAACTAGTTTTTATTAATAATAATGTAGCAACAATGACAATAGCTCCCATTTATAAAGGAGGGTGTGGCAATAGTATATGCACACTAGTTATTGGATTGTTATAATTACCAGCGATGATGACCATTGTTATTAGTATCGAGCTTGTACTGAACTGGACTTTATTTCTCTCCTTTTTTGGTGTTATCTCAAGTAAGCTATTAGAATTATAGTTACTTTATGTCCCAGAATTGATTTGGAGTAAATAAACGAATCATGTGTGTAAGGGTGTGTGTGGAGGTGGGGAGGGTGGGTGTGTGAACAGTTATGTGTGTCTCTCCTGATTTCAAAGCAATTCAAAAGCTTTATAAAGACGGTAGCTAAGGATGTAGGCTTTGGCATCCAACTGCCTGGGTTCAAATCCAGGTCTCTCGAGAGCTAACTTCTGTGAACTTAGGCAAGCTTTTTAACTTCTCTGACCTAATTTTCTCATTTGTAAAAAAGAATAACCACAGCACCTAGTTCATAAAATTTTGAGGATTAAATGACAGATGAATGTCTATTATGTTATATAATAGCACTCACTAATGTATGTTGCTATTTTTTTTAATTTTTTTAACGTTTATTTATTTTTGAGACAGAGAGAGACAGAGCATGGATGGGGGAGGGTCAGAGAGATAGGGAGACACAGAATCTGAAACAGGCTCCAGGCTCTGAGCTGTCAGCACAGAGCCCAACGCGGGGCTCAAACTCACCGACCAAGAGATCATGACCTGAGCCGAAGTTGGACACCTAACCGACTGAGCCACCCAGGCGCCCCTGTTGCTATTTATTTTTATTATTACTATTTTTTAAAAGAACTGGAAGAATACAGAAAAGCAAAAAGAAAAGTAGTCACATTTAATTCCATTATATAACTACTATTAACATTCTAGTCTATATAATTCTGGTCTTTTTTTGTTTATATGTATGCCTAAGTATGTTCAATTTTTATAAAATTAGAAATTATTTATTACCACTTCATAATTTACTTTATCAATTTGCTTTTCTATGTCAATATTTAGTCTTGTACATAGTATTATCATTCGCATGTTAACTCAAATATATGTGTTTTGTAATTTAGTGACTGGACAGTTAGGATGCTTTGAAGTTTTTACTCTTACAAATAACAGAAATCTGAAATAATCTGAATATACACCTTTGGTATATATTTGATTAATTTGGGCATAAATCTGTAGGAAACAATTTAATAAGCTATAGAATATAAAAAATTAATACTTTAGTTAAGACTTTTATTCATTTCAATCAATAGTATATGAGGCTTCTAGTTTCTATGTAATATTGCCAAGTCTGTGTAGCATATATTTTTTATTTTACCTAATCTAATGGCTTCTATGCAATATGAGACAAGTTATTTTAATTCTAAACCTAGATTTCCAACCTGTAAAATTAACTAATGGGCACAGGATTTAGAAATATAGTCACAGGTCATGAAGTTTACAGTATTCTAGAGCTTTTTGATGCTCAATATTTGAAGTATAGCTCCAATGAGAAAGGGTGGTGAAGTTGGGTGAACACCAGAAGAGGTTGAAGGGATGACTACTGAAGAGCATTCCCATGAATGTTGTAACTGTCCAGAATGTCCCAGGTTGATCACACTTGTAGATTCCAATTCAGAGAGTGATATAATTAACAAATATAATTTGAATTTATTATTATTTTTTTATTACTGTCTATCCTGCTAAAATGTATGCTTCATAAGGGCAGGGATGTTTGTTTCATTCACTGATGTATCTTAAGCACCTAGCATGAAACCTGACACATAGTAGGGGTTAAATAATAAATGTCTATTAAACGAACAAACTGAATGAAGCTACCCTATATGTTAAGAGACTGCATGCCCTAGTAACTGGCAGAATACCCTTCCCAGCATAAGTGTGAGTAAGCTGCCATGATTGAGACCTCTTGGATTTGCTTCTTCCCAGCAACCATTGCTATGTCCCATGACATAGCCTGTCTCAGATATGTTAATGCCTTCAGCCTTCCCTACTGCAGTCCACACTCTTCACAGTAATATTGTCCCTCTCTGTTCAAACCCATTATGAGTTGTCTTACTAGTTCAACTTATTTTCAAGTTCTTAGGGATATTCCATTGTTGTGCCTTCATACAACCTAGAACAACCAACTAATAGGGTAATTGTGAATATATTATATGGGATAATATATAAAGTAAAATATATATCTGTTCATTTAACCAATATTATTATAGACTCAGGAGCCAATTCCACACAGTTCGCTCCTAGGTTGCAAAACTTAATTCCTGTGTCACTTTGAGCAAGTTACCTGATGATACTGTGTTCAGTTTTCTTATCTGTAAAATGCAAATAGTATGTGCCTTCCTTATAGGACTAATGTGTGGATTAAATTAGTTAAAGCATGTGAAAAAATAGAAATAGTAAGTAAATATTATATATTTTGATAAATATTATTGACAGTAATAATAACCTCATTGGGAATTTTCTCTGTGCCAGAAACCAAATGTATATTATCTCAGGTAATTCTTAAAACAATTCTATGGGCCAACTATTATTGTTACCACAAATTCATTAGTAAGGATATTAAGGCTCAGAAGGTTTTATTAATGTCCTAAAACCATACAGCTAGTGAGTGGTTGAACCTGGATCCAAATGCAGATGTGTCTGAAATATTTTCTAATGAAGAATTTTTTTCTTAAAATATTTTGAAACATCTGCATTCTCATTAACATTATAATTTCTGATATCTGATTTCTAGGCTTTTTAGCCATGCTCACAACCTTAGAACATTTTTCAAGAAATTAACTTTTAATGCATGTGAATATTTAAACATCCATCTATTAGTGTAAGGGTATATAGTTTCTAAGGACGCTCAGAGTCACTTACTGTGATTTTACTGTGGCCCAGTTCACCAATCTCTGTATTTCCTCTAGTATGATGTTGGCAAAAATCAGTCAGTTAAGTAATTAAATACAATTTGAAAATTATGGGGTGGCAAATGATGACCAATATAGACAATCTCTGTTCCATGGTATGGGTTTGGTAAACTTATAAACCTTTTATAATCTCATGAAAAGAATGGCTATCCTTGGAAGATCAAAACATAAACCTTTCAGGATTCATTTTTCAGCAGTGTATTGAAGTTACAAGAGCTCTAACCTAACAGTGATTTTCTACCCAGTGTGGAAGTGTCCTGACACTAGCACTAGTAGAGACCCATATATTATAGAGTAACTGGCTGGACTGAGTGTGCTGTGTGTGACCAATATCCTTCTCATTCCAGTGACAGACTTGAAATTTGAACACTTTTCAGACACCCCTACCACATAAAACAATGAAAACTGAAAAGCAATCCATGTACAGATGTTAATCCAGCTGCTGTATTTGTGGGCGTAATTTGCTATGACATATTTGACAGATTATTTTTTATATTCTTGAGATTTATTTATTTTCATTGAAATATACTAGAAAATATTGTTACCTTTTGCCAGGTGAATGAGTGGGGATATTTGGTAAAAGTGTCTTTCATAGTCAAGAAATCTCAGCAATGTACTGAGAGCTAGCATGACCATGAATTGGCAGAATGGTAGTAATTTGTGAATGATGTTCATTCAGGAAGCACATTAGAAGGTTAGCAATGATAGCGTGGGTTTGCACAGGATTCAGCTTGATGTTTGAAGATCTTATTTTTCTCTTCAACAGGTTAATTATGTATGGCTTTGTGAAAGCTATGGTATATGCGGGCCAGTTGAAAAATGGAGACTTCCATTTCACCGACTGTTTGTTTTTTGGTTCACTGATGTCTGCTACAGATCCAGGTAATTGCTCAAATCGTATGTTGTGTGTGTGTGTGTGTGTGTGTGTGTGTGTTTATGAATCAAACATTTATATTTAATGTTTCTCTAAAGTCCTTCACCTGAGTCTACATCATAATAATTCCTATTCCTTTTCAATTGTAGTTGACATATCTGTAAGTCATTAAAAAAAAAAGAAGAAGAAAAAGAAAGAAAAGAAACAGGTGAATATTCTAATAGCTTTCAAAAAATGGATCTGAAAGCAATTTCAGTAGTAGGAATTTCAGAATTTAAAATTCATTATAGCTTATTTTTCTAGGATATATAGCCATTTTGAGCTATAGGAGTTATTTTTTTCTCCAACTTGTCTTCTTTCAAAAATGACTTATTGAATTTAAAAGTAAAAAATATTTTCAAAAAAATTGTTTACTATGGAACTTTTCAAACATATTAAGAGTAGGGAGAATAATAAAAAGAACTGTCATATACCCTTCAGCAGTTACCAAATATGGTCAATATTGTTGTCTACACCCCCCCTACACTCCCTCTCATAATGACTGGATTATGTTAAAGCAAACCTCAGATATTGTATCATTTATTTGTAAATATTTGTAATGGTATTGTCATTATGAAACCTAAAAATATTTATAATTATTCTTTTTTTTAAATATTATTTTAATGTTTATTTTTGACAGAGAGAGAGAGAGAGACAAAGCATGAGTGGGGGAGGGGCAGAGAGAGAGGGAGACACAGAATCTGAAGCAGGCTCCAGGCTCTGAGCTGTCAGCACAGAGCCCAAAGCAGGGCTCGAACTCACAGACCGTGAGATCATGACCTGAGCCAAAGTCAGACACTCAACCGACTGAGGCACACAGGTGCCCCTATAATTATTTTTTAATTTTATCAAAGAGCTAGTCTCTCTTCAAATATCCCCAATTGCTTTTTTGTAATTATCATTATTAGTTTGTGTAATAGTTTATACAAATTAGGGCCAAATAAGGGCTACATGTTACAAGTGATTAGCGTTGAGTATCAAGTCTCTTTTAATTTGTATGTTCTTCTTCCATCTTTTATTTTCATCAGTTATTTGTTGGGGGGAAAATAGGCAATTTGTCTTGTGGTTGGATTGAATATGGCTCCTTAAAATATACCTCTATAGCACATGTTTCTTGTAAATCTGATGGTTAAATCTAGAGGCTTAATGAGATTCACGTTCATCTTTTTTGGCAAGATTACTTTGTAGGTGGTGTTGCGAGTTTCTATAGCAAAATATCACGTAGTGATAGTGACTCAGCTGTCAACTTGACTCATCACACTGTTGTACAGCTATTCCAACAAAACCCACCAGAGCACACCTGTAGCTAAAAAGATGTGTTTATTACATGTTATAATGAGAGAAAATTCACACCAGAGGAAACATAGGACCTCTCAGTGGGTATTAGAAAAGACTTGTTATAGGCTCAGGCATAATACGTTTGGTGATTTGAGGGAGGGCTTAAGGAATTGGAGCTTTGCCCTGGATAAGATGCTGTCAGGAAGCAAGAGCGCATTTTAATAAGTCTTATCTAAAATCAGGGAAGATTGGATTGAGCCTAAAGTTAAAATTGGTAAAGAAGTAGTGGTCACTTAGAATAGCTAAGATAGGAAGATGTTTGGTCAGTTTTTTAGTTTGGACAGTGTTCATTATTTCTGTTGAGACATGATTATAAATTATTGTTTTGTTGTCATTGGATTGTTTTGTTTTATTTATTCATTTACTTTTGTTTTGGGGTTTTGTTTTAGAGAGAGAATGCACATATATGAGTGGGGGAGAGGAGCAGAGGGAGAGAGAGAGAGAGAAAAAGAGAGAATCTTAAGCTCAGCATGGAGCCCACCACAGGCTTGATCTAACGACCCTGGGATCATGGTCTGACCCAAAATCAAGAGTTGGATGCTCAACCAACTGAGCCACCCAGGTGGCTCTGTTCTGCAATATTTCTGTTTTTGTCTTGATTCATTGTGGTCACAAAGTGACCTTGTCTGATGTTGTTCTGTGAAATTCTTTACGTTCCGCAGGAGAACACCAAAGCCCCGATAATAATAGTAGGCCAGCTCCTGAATGTCAGGGGCTGTTTTGTCTTTTTTGAGAATAGCCATCTGACCAGTGGTATTGGCACCATGTGTTTGCTTATTACAAATGCAGAACCTCAGGCTCAACCTCAGATCTACTGAATTGGATTCTAGAATTCAACAGTATCCTAAAGTGATTCATATGCACATTAAGATTTGAGAAGCATTACCTTTTAGCATTCCCCATTTTGGCTAATGCCTTTAGTATCCATTGATGGTTACTGCTTAATTAGTCCAATATTAATTAGGGGTTACAAACTGGTGGTATGCTAATTGTATCCTACCTTTTGTATTTATTAGCTGGTACTCTCTTATAAATAAGCAGCTTTCCAGATCAACTATGTAGTACCCCATGATATCATTTGAACAAGGAAGCAGGATAAATGATTTGTTCTTTTCCTTTATTTACTAATTTTCAAAATAATAACTTGTTTCCTTAGCATCCTCCACATATGACCACAGAGATTTTTCTTTTTTAAAGTATTATATCAACACATGGATTTTAAATGGTTGATGTGTTTTAATCTATTGTTGTCATTCTCTTTGATGTTCAGAATACTCCTACTTGACAACTGGTTGCTTCTTCAAGTTTCTCCTATATCCTTTTGTCATGACCTCAATGGTCTTACATAGGTTTCCTGTCTTTGAGTAGGACTAGATGTTCCAACCTTATTTTGTGTGTTTCTTGTACCCTGACTTGGAACCAGCCATTTCCCCAAGAAGCCTCGGTTCTTTATAAGAGAGAAATTTACTGGGGCACCTGTCTGGCTTCGGCTCAGGTCACAGTCTCACAGTTCATGAGTTTGAGCCCGGCATTGGGCTTTATTCTGACAGCTCAGAGCCTGGAGCCTGCTTTGAATTCTGTGTCTCTGTTTCTCTCTGCCCCTTCCCTGCCCATGCTCTGTCTCTCTCTCTCTCTCTCTCTCTCTCTCTCTCAAAAATAAGTAAACATTTAAAAAAATTTAAAAAAGAAAAGAGGGAAATTTATTTATAGACCAAAATTTTGGGCACTAGGGGGTTTCATTGCTACTGGATTGGTCATTGTTTCTAAATATTTTTATTTGTTTTAAAGGAGAAACAATATCACAAACTTATATTAATATTTTCAGCCCAAATTTAGGATTACAGAAATTTTAATTAACCACCTTAAATTTTTATTTTTTTCTTCTGCCTACTTTTTCTTATTATTACATTAATATAATTTATTTCCTTAAAATAAATATTTTCAAAATTTTAGTATACATTATTAAAAATATGATTATTGAAAACTGCTTAAGATTTCACTGTGGTTCTTTTTAACTTTTGAGTATCTCACTAGTGATGAACAGTTAAAAATTACTGTTTTAAGAACCTTGAAATAATTCCTCTGTAGATTGTATATTGTGAATATGCAATACTGTTCATTTGTTTTATTTTAGTTAAAAACTGTTTTATAATTTTGTTATGAAATTAGATTAAATAGCTAGAGAATTCCAAAATGAAAACCATGGGAACAAAGAAGAGACATCTAGTTTCTATCCCTGTCCCCTCTACCTTAATTTTCCAACCATTTTGGTTAGTTTTTCATTTATCCTTCTATTTTTAATCTAAGTAAATACACAAATATACACATACTCTACTATATGCTACTATACACATGGTTCTTCACCTTACTCTTCTTTAACAATGTTTTGGTGAGTCCTCCATTGCAATATGTAAAGATCTCTTTCTCTTTTATAACTGCAGAGTACTCCACAGATGATTCAACCCATTGTCTATTTGTGGACATTTAGTTTTTTCTTGTCCTTTGCAATTATGAATGGTGTTGCAACTAATAACATTAAAATAAATACCCTGTCACTTTTTGCTAGTGTTTCTTTGGCATAGGTTTTAGAAACCGGTTAAAAGGTAAATGCATTTGTAATTTTCTTAGATGCCAAATTCCTCTCCGTAAAGTTTGCACTATTTTCCATTCACACCAGATACATATGACAGTATGTATTCTTCACCACTTTGTCAATGCAGAATTCTATCACAGTTTTGGTTATTTACTTGTAGTAGGTAAAGATTTGTCTCTCCCTCTGGTTTGACTTAGTACTTCTTTTATTATGAGTAAGGTTAAAAATTTGTTCATATGTTTAAGGGACATCTGTATTTTTTTCCTGAAAATGATCTGTTTATAAGATTTTTTTTTCCAGTAGGGTTGTTAGTCTTTATTTTTCAAGTTTTAGAAGCCCTTAATGTATTAGGGATATTAACCTTTGTCTATAATATAAGGTACGAATATTTTTCCAACTTTTTTACATGCTTTATTTTGTTTATGGTATGAGGTAGGAAAAATAATTTTTTAATGCATGATATTGACTTACTTCCTGGAATAAGATGAAATAAAAGGAGGTCTCAGATTAGGAACTCTTGGTGTAGATTACAGCACCAGAGTGCCAGAGCAGTGTATAGGGACAGACTGCTCCACCTCCATGGTTGAAGATGACCTAGCCACTAGTCATTGTTGGAAGATTTCATGCTATACTCTCACAGCCCCAAGGAAATGGAGGAGTTCCTTGGTAGCCATGGGAAGCATGAACTCAGGATGAAATATTTTCAACCCATCAGTGATTTCTAGCTACTTAGGGCTGTTCTCTTTTGTCTATATATGGACATTTTGCTTTTAACAGTCAGGTCCCATTTCATGTCATTTTTGCACAAATCTGCATGCTTAAAAGCAGTGCATCCATTGTTCCCTGGTCCCAACACTAAAGGCCAAGTTTGTTGCATTCTGTTGAGTGATTCAACCAGCTCCAAGCACAAATGTGTTGTGCTAACGCTTTGCTCCTTCTGTGGCTGGTGATATCCCAGGACACAGGAAAACTGACTGAAATAGAAAAATAAACCAACTTGGTAAGATGGATATTTATCTGCATTGTGTCAAACAGTTG